ATACAATAAGAAATAACTAAGTGAGGGGCACCTGGGTGGCTCAGTTGTTAAGCATCTGACTTTGGCTCAGGTCATGATCTTGTGGTGAGTTAGAGCCCCACATCGGGCTCTGTGCTGACAGCTGAGAGCCTAGAGCCTGCTTTGGATTCTGTGTCTCCCTCTCTCTGCCCCTCCCCCATGCATACTCTGTCTCTCAAAATGAATAAATGTTAAAAAAAAAAAAAAAGAAAGAAAGAAAAAAAAACTGAGTCATATTTTCCCCACTCAGGAAGTTCAAACATTACAAATATTTAAGTACTAATTTGTAACTTTCATAAGTTAAAGAAGATAATAAAGCATAACGTATACTTATCAAATTGTTTTATCCTTTTAAAAACTGTCTCCTTTTAGAAGTTTCAAAAAAGTTGTAAAATGGCAAAAAGATTCATAGTCTAGAAGACAAAATACCTAACAAAATATAGGTTGGCTAGTTTGTTTGCTTGAAAAGTATGGACTAGGAGCGCCTGGATGGGTCAGTCACTAAGCCTCAGAATTTGGCTCAGGTCATGATCTCACTGTTCGGGAGTTCAAGCCCCACGTGCAGCGCTGTAGGGCGTGGAGCCTGCTTCTGAGTCTGAGTCTGTGTCTGTGTGTGTGTGTGTCTCTCTCTCTCTCTGCCCTTCCCCCACTCACACTCTGTCTCTCTGCCCTTCCCCTACTCACTCTCTCTCTCTCTCTCAAAAGTAAGCATTAAAAAAAAATTAATCAAAAAAAAAAGTATGGATGAGTCACAGTTATTCTCTCGAGCCCCCATTTTTGTAAACCAGTTAGGATATTAATTTATACCTTAGTGAATTAACATATCTAGGCAATGATCATCAATGGCTGCTATTAATACAAGAAGAATGACTGACATCATATGCCTCCTGATGGTAACACACAATACTCTTAATGTATTCTTGTCAAAAAAGAAAAAAAATTGAACCTGAATTTGAGGAAGCCGTTCATTCTAATGACCAATTTGCAACAAACATAAGAGACTGATTAACACATGAAATAATCACCATAGGGGAAATCCACATTGTGGGTAATTTAACAACACAAACTACCTTATTTATGTATTTCAATAAGTTGAAAAGGAAAAGTTAAAAAGAGATGCAAGGGAAACTGAAAAGATTAAAAAAATCTCAGTGACTTATCAACCAAGTCCAACATAAAAATTATAAAAAAATATTTAGGAGACAATCAGGAAAGTTTAAGCATCGATTAGTTATGTGACTAAAGAATTACTCATTTTTAGGATTCTAATGTTGTTTATGGTTAAAGTTTAAAGAAAAGTCTTTAGATTTTAGAGATACATACTGAAATACTTACAAATGAAATGATTTGTCCATTATTTGCTCCAAAAAAAATATGGAGTGGGAAGGTGGGACTATAGATGAAACAAAACTGACCTGAAATAATAATTGTTGAAGTGATGGGTACATGAGGATTCATTATATTAGTCCATCCTTTTCTAAATATATTTGAAATTTTCTATAATAAAAAGTTCAAGATAACACCATTCATGAATGTGTAATTAAAATACAAATTCTTATACTTAGCGAGCAGCTATTGGAAAGAGACAGAGCTGTATTAATATGAGAGAGAATGAGTACGTACATGACCAACTGGTGACTAAAATTTCTAGTATTTTTATTACTTCATAGAAGAAGATCTCTGGCCAACTAATCTTTGACAAAGCAGGAAGGAACATCCAGTGGGGGGTAAAAAAACAGTCTCTTCAGCAAATGGTATTGAGAAAACTGTGCATCAACATGCAGAAGAATGAACCTGGACCACTTTCTTACACCATACACAAAAATAAACTCAAAATGAATGAAAGACCTAAATGTAAGACAGAAAACCATAAAAATCCTAGAGGAGAAAACAGGCAACCACCTCTTTGACCTTGGCTGCAGCAACTTCTTATATGACATATATCCGGAGGCAAGGGATGAATGAAGCAAAAGCAAAAGCAAAAATGAACTACTGGGACCTCATCAAGATAAAAGTCTTCTGCACAGCAAAGGAAACAATCAGCAAAACTAAAAGGCAACTAACAGAATGAGAGAAGATATTTGCAAATGACGTATCAGATAAAGGCTTAGTATCCAAAATCTATAAAGGACTGAACAAACCCAACACTCAAAAACAAATAATCCAGTGAAGAAATGGCAAAAGACATAAATAGACACTTTTCCAAAGAAGACATCCAGATGGCTAGCAGACACACGCAAAGGTGCTCAACATCACTCATCATCAGGGAAATACAAATTAAAACTACAATGAGATACCACTCACACCTGTCAGAATGGCTAAGTTAACAACTTGGGCAACAGATGTTGGCAAGGATGTGGAGAAAGGGGAATGCTTGTGCCCTAATGGGAATGCAAACTGGTGCAGCTATTCTGGAGAACAGTATGGAGGTTCCTCAAAAAATTAAAATCAGAGCTACCCAAGGCCCAGCAACTGCACTACTAGGTATTTATCCAATGGATTAAAAAAAAAATGCTGATTCGAAGGGGCACATGTACCCCAATGTTTAGAGCAGCACTATCGACAACAGCCAAAGTAAGGAAAGAGCCCAAATGTCCACCAGCTGATGAATGGATAAAGAAGATGTGGTGTATATATACACAATGGAGTATATTACTCGGCAATCAAAAAGAATGAAATCTTGCCATTTGCAACAACATGGATGGCACTAAAGTGTATTATGCTAAGCAAAATCAGAGAAAGACAAATACAGGATTTCACTCATATGTGGAATTTAAGAAACAAAAGAGATGAACATAGGGGAAGGGAAGCAAAAACAAGAAAAACAGAGGGAGGCAAACTATAGAGTCTCTTATACAGAGAACAAACTGAGGGTTGCTGGAGGGGTGTCGGATGTGGAGGTGGGATAGATGATGGCCATTAAGGAGGGCACTTGTTGGGATGAGCACTGGGTGTTATATGTAAGTGATGAATCACTAAATTCTAATCCTGAAGTCATTATTACACTATATGCTAACTGGGATTTAAATAAAATTTTAAAAATTAAAAAAAAAGTTTACTAATATTTTAAAAACCAGTGCATGCAATTTTTAAGAACACTAGTAACTCATACTGACATGCTGCTCATATTTTCAAAGAACTTTCCGGTTTCACTAGATCATACTGTCCCTATCAAATAGAATGAGTATGCCTGCCTATATATTTTTCTATTGTAGTAGAATATTTGCCTCAACATTTTAGGAAGAAAAACTGAGATTCTGAGAAAGTATAAAGCCAAAATTACTGAATAGCCTAGGCTTTTTTCAATGTTTTATTGCCTCTCCTGCCTTGTATTTACCTTTTTGGAGAGAAGGGTTAATATAGCTAGTTATATCAACAGTAGTAGCTTTTATTTATTGGATATTTATAATGTCTCTGACTTTGTAATAGGCACTTTATAGATATCTTATCTCAATTATAACTTAAAACAACTCTAGAAGGTAGATATTACTATCACCTCTATATAGATGAAAAAACTGAAAACCTGGAGAATTTAATTAATTACCCAAGTTATACAACTAAGCAACCGAGGTTAGATTTTAACATGCAGCTAAATGTCTACAGAGCCCATGTTCTTATCCACTTCTCCTAGATCTAATCAGTAACCAGCTCAGGCTGTGCAGTTCAAAGGTGATATTTTATAAATAGGTAATTCAAAAGTAACTCTCAAGATTAGTTTCAAAAACAGAATATTTCAGTAGTTTACAATGAAATTATTGGTAGTATTACAATGAAATTATTGGTAGTATTCTCCCTAAAATAAGCTACAATATTTCACAGAAACTTAATGAAGACAAAGAAAATTGTCTCTTTGCTTTTTAAATATCTTGCTCAAACCTCTCAGTATCAACAGGAATTAAAAATGAATAAAACTTTATTAATACAGCACCAGTGTTCAGTACAGAATTTAATACTACCTGTTTAGATATTAGTTTAAAAGATAACAAATTTAAAGCAATTCTATTCAGAAAGACAGGTACGGAGTCAACACATTAGTGGCAAAGTACTCAGAGACACCTCTTAAGCTGTGAGCTCTTAGAGAAGATAATTAACCTCCAGCTTAGAGCCCATTTCTCTATCTATAAAAGTAAGGATAAACAAATACCTACCTTTAATGGCTGTTGTGAGGACAGTCTGACAAAGTATACACTTAGAGAATAGCAACTGTTGTTACTACTGGCATTTTTATTATCACTAAGAGATTAAAAATATTTCAGCTAAAAGAAGTTAAGAAAGCCCATTAGTTTTAAATAAAATATTTATGGCAAAGTAAACATGTTCTAAGAGAAGGCTTTAATCTTAACTTTTTGCTGAAATCATAGCGAAAATAAAATAAGCTACCATCAGTTTTCCTTTTACAATCGCTGTGATAATAACCTTCATAAAACAAATTACTTCCAGGTCCATTTTATTTTCTATTAACAAATTATTTTAAAGTTTAACTTTTTTTGACCCTTTAAGAAACTAAAACAAGTTTAAACCAGAAATCCAAAAAAGGCTGGGAACAAAGTAACACAAGTAAACAAAAGTGCATTTTGCTATCAATCATTAGACTATTCTTACATTTGAGCCTGAACGAAGGACATTCACTAAATTAAAATTTATAAACATCTCAATATAATAGTGACTTTCAATTCCACAGCAATATGAAACACAGAAAAATCGGCCTCTGCATTAACCCAAAGAACCTACCGTCCCAAGGGCTGGAACCAAGTCAATATAAGTAAGCAGAGAAAGATATAGGACAGAAATATCAGAAAACTGGGTTATGCTTCAATAAGTTTTAAAATATGTCATTTTCATATGAGCATAGGAGTTAAAGTGTTACTTTAAAATTCTTTTAAGTTTGTTTTAAATACATTTTTAAAATAAAACGATGGCTTGTATCAAACACTTTACAGCTAGATGATAGTACCTTATTATGCTGTATTTGAACCACTCACCGAAGTTTGATCAGGTTCTCCATCAGCCAAACCTGCATCCATAGTGAAAGAAGGTAAGTTTACGCTTCTCTTTCCATTAATCTTTAGCCATCCTGTAAATATGGAAATCCTAGAAGAAAAAAATTACATGTATTAGGACTAGTATAAAACTGTGATAAATGAGAAAAAAAAAAAGGAGTATTTTAGGAGAGAGAAATTATTTTAGGCTGAGGTAATTGGGAAATCCAATAATGGGAAAAACAGATTTTGACATGGGCCTTGAAGAATGGTGAAGGTTCAGAGAAAAATGGAAGAAGGACAGACAATATTCCAAGTGAAGAGGCATAGCAAGAGCAAGGTTACAGGCATAAGACTGTTCAATGTTTAAAAAGATGTTTAAATCTACTTTACAATTAAGGAAATAAAATGTTCTTTTTTCATGATTATATTGGCAAAAACTTTTAAAAAGTGTGCTAATATGCAACACTGACAAGAATGTAGGAAAACAGGTATTCTCATACTTGTGTGAGAATATAAATCATAACAATTTTTAGAAAGATAATTTAAAATATGTACACTTTAATCCAGTAATTTAGAGGCTAATAATTATGCCATATGTACTTGTTTATATAAATGCACAAAGATATATAAATACATCCAACAAAGTAACAGATATGATGAGAAGAACTGGAACAACCTTAATGTCAATCATTAGGAGTTTGCTTAAATTATACTATAAACATACAATGGAACATCACGCCAGCAACTTCTAAAAATGAAGAAGGTGTTTTTACATACTCTTTATGTATTTACTTCATATAGAGAGAAGGCCACATTAGGTGGAAAAGGCAAATTACAGAACATTATTGATAAAATACTCTGCATTTTCCCAATTTTACAATGAACATGTATTACTTCATAGTTATTTTTATTTTGAAAGTCTTACAAGCATGTCTTTATCACAAGTCTTTTTCTTCCGAACTTTGTAAACAAAACCTCCAAGTTGAAGTCTTTTTTTTTTTTTTAATGTGTATTTATTTTGAGAGAGAGAGCAAACACAAATGGGAGAGGGGTAGAGAGGGAGAGAGAGAATCCCAAGCAGACACCATGCTGTCAGTGTAAAGCCTGATGCGGGACTCAGATCTCACCAAATGTGAGATCATAACCTGAGCCAAAATCAAGAGTCAAGATGCTCAACCGATTGGGCTACCCGTGTGCCCCCAAGCTGAATTCTTATCATATAAAACTACATATATTCAAAAGCCTCTAATAAACTCTCTAATAATTCTTCCTTAAAAGAGCTAACGAAACCAAAATCAACAAGTCAGCAGAATTCTAGTCATTTCTTGAAGTTCTAAAATCATTTTGTTTCTGCAAGTATAAAAAAGCTTCACTGAAGTGTAAATGCTGGTGAAAATACTTCTTAACTGGGCTTTGGAGGGCTGTCATTTGGTTTCTCTCATATAAACAATACAATTAGCCCAAGCTAAGTGAACTTGCAGTTTATAAACCTTAAGTATACTTCCCCAGTATATGTATTACAATGCACCGTAATTATTTATTCTCATGATCTAATTCTCTTCAGGGACAAAGACTGCATTTTACTGATCTGTCTACCCAGTGCTGGTTCATGGCAGACATTTCATAAACATTTGTTGCACTAAACTGTCACTTCAATTACCTGTATGAATAAAAAATAATCCAAAACAGATGATACAAAAATTATTTATGTCTATGTGATACACACTATAATTCATATTTGAATACTGACACACATATTCTAGAAATTGGCAATATTAAAAACAAAACGATAAGACACCCACTGGAAGCTTCAACTTCAAAAATATTTTACTGGGGAGCCGGGGTGGCCCAGTCAGTTAAGTGTCCAACTTCAGCTCAGGTAATGATCTCACAGTTCGTGGGTTTGAGCCCGCATCAGGCTCTGTGCTGACAGCTCAGAGCCCACACAGCCTGCTTTGGATTCTGTGTCTCCCTCTCTCTCTCTGACCCTCCCCTGCTCATGCTCTGTCTGTTCTGTCTCTCTCTCAAAAATAAGTAAATATAAATTTTTTTTTAATTTTACCAATTTTTTCATCTTATCCATTCCATTCTAAGGATTCCTTTATTACTAGACATTATATTAGGCACTTAAAATGCATCAATGAAGGCATTCCCCTCTACTTGGTAGATGGGATACTGCCTGATTCATAAATCATTTAATAAAGCCAATTAGATCTATAAAATAAAATTAAAATAGAGATGCCCAGGTGGCTTAGTCAGTTGAGCATCTGACTTCAGCTCAGGTCATGATCTCACAGTTCATGAGTTCAAGTCCCACATCAAGTTTTGCACTTATACTGCAGAGCCTGCTTTGGATTCTCTGTCTCCCTCTCTCTCTCTCTGCCCCTCCCCCACTCTCTCTCTCTCTCAAACATATATATTTTTAAAAATTATGTAAAATAAAAATACATCAATAAACAAAACAAAGCCCTACTCTCATGGAGCTTATATACTAGGAGACAAAACAATAAATACAATAAATTAAAAGTTATATGTTAGAAAGTGATGCTATGAGGAGAGGCTTGGTGGCTCAGTCAGCCAAGCATCCAACTCTTGATTTTGGCTCAGGTCATGATCTCACGATTGTGAGATCAAGCCCTGCATCAGGCTCCAAGCTGGGTGTGGAGTCTGCCTGGGATTCATATTCTCTCTTTCTCTCTCTCTCTCTCTCTCTCTCTCTCTCCTTCTGCCCCTGCCCTTCTCTGGCGCTCTCTCTCTCTCTCTCTCTCTCTCACACACACACACACACACGCACACGCACGCTCTCTCCCTCTCTCCCTCAAAAAATGAAAAAAAAAAAGGTGATACTAGGAGAAAAAAATAAAGCAGGCTAAGAAAAACCATGGAGGAAAGGGTTACAATTTTAAGTCAGATATTTATGGAAGGTCTCATTGAAAAGATGACATTTGACCGAAGATTTGAAGTAGGGAGGAAAACAGCCACGTAGATATCTGAAATAGAGTTTTCAGGTCAGAGGAAATAGCCAGTGCAAATGTTGTAAGTGACTAACTTGTAAGTCTGAGGAAAAGCAAGAAAACCATGTGGCTAGACAATGTGAGCAAAGGGAATAAAGAGCAGCAAGAGATATGATCACAGAGGTAAGGCCTGAAGGACTGAAAAGATGGCCATCAGACAAGAAGACGACAGATGGGAGAGTAAGGTTTTTTTTCTTTGGGGGAATTTGGGAGGGGGTAAACAGGTGTTTGGTTTGGGGCATGTTAAGTTTGAGAGGTCTATTTGATATTCAAGTGGGTATGTTCAGCAAGCAGTTGGAAAAAAATATAGCACCGTGAAGATTCAGATAGCAAAATGAGGGGTAAAGTTTTTGAACACATTTAGTTTTTAAAGACATGAACGTATTCTTGGTATCAGGTATGTGATAAATGTTTGTTAGCCTGTGAATAGCATATAGATACTATACTTCTCAAATGACTTTTTTAAACCAGTATTTGGTTTTGCAGTAAGTTTATAATGAGGAGATTTGATTCCATGAGGAGTATTTTATACTTTAGCAATAGGCAGCTCTCGAAAGCTTTATGAAAACAAAACAGTAACAAAACCATACATGACAAGGAATATGTAAAACAGAAGTCACAAAATGTAAGGCAACTGGCTGTGGTTTTGGTTCTTCTTTCCAAACCAGTATTTCAAAATGTATACATAACAATGGAGTTTTAAGACTAGTCCTAACACTATAGAAAATGTGGCAACACTGAGGAATGACTGATTACAGCTGAGCAGCAGCCAACTACTTGACACAGGTAAACATTCTCCAGTTTGCACCCACCTCTCACACAATATTTGCATCTGTACTTTTCATTGCTTCCCTCATTTTCTGCTACCTGCCTAGGTTCTGTAAGTGCTTGAGTTCTGACCACTCATTTAAGGTAACCTGTACAGAATCTTTGCTAACACAAAGAAACACATTCAATAACATATACAACTGCTTTTAGTAGAGCAATTTTATAAGCTCCCATTTTGGATTTCTTCTATCAGCCACCATCCTTTCTGTGACTAAATTTTCTACCTATGCTTTCTGAGCTATCCCTTCTAGTACCTAATGATAGTAAAAGCCTTTACTTATATATCAAGAACTTGTCCTGTCAGTCCTTCTGCTTGTCCCCAATGCTCAAACCTCACTGATTGTTAAAAAGGCCTTTCTCAGTCCTACCTCCCTAAAAGCTACCCTCCTCTATTTTACCTCCATTGGAAATTTTCTTAAATATTCATGCTTCATTTCCTCTATTTCGTTCCCCTGACTTCATGCCTACATTTATGTTGGTTCTACACCTAGGTTAATCTGAAGCACAGATGTATGTGCATATATGTGTGTGTTGTACGTATAGCTTTTGATGATTTTAATTAATGTTTTCTTGACTTTATCCCAATTTATGATTAAAACAAATACTATGCCTTCCTTGACCATCGCTGCCTGGAAATATGGATTTCCTGCCAATATAATTTTCACTTAACTGTACCTTCCCATGCTATATTAAATAAAAGGGCAACAATGGATATCCTTGTCTTGTTGCTGATCTTAGGGGGAAAGCTTTCAGCTTTTCACCACCAAACAAGATGTTAGCTGTGGGCCTGTCATATATGGCCTTTATTATACTGAGGTACATTACCTCTATATCTGCATGTTGAGATTAAACGGATGCTGAACTTTGTCAAACACTTTTTCTGCATCTATGGAAATGACCATATGATTTGTATACTGGAGTTTATTAATATGGTATATCACAGTGACTGATTTGTAGATGTTAAACCATTCTTGCAGCCCTAGAATAAACCCACTTGATGATAGTGTATGATCCTTGTGATGTATTATTTCAGTTTGCTAATATTTTTTTTGAGGATTTTTGCATGTATGTTCATCAGGGATATTGGCCTGTAATTTTTTCTTGTGGCATCTTTGTCTGGTTTTGGTATCAGGGCAATGCTGGCCATATAAAATGAATTTGGGGAAGAGTCCTCTCCTATACTTTGGAAGAGTTTGAGAAGGATTGACATTAACTCTTCTTTGAATGTTTGGCAGAATATACAAGTGAAGCCATCTGATCTTGGACT